TTTCGCTCTTGTTACCCAGGCTGGAGTGCAATGGCGTGATCTAGGCTCACTGCAACCTCCGCCTCCTGGGTTCAAGCAATTCTCCTGTCTCAGCCACCTGAGTAGCTGGGATTACAGGTGTGCACCACCATGCTCAGCTACTTTTTTTTTGTATTTTTAGTAGAGACAGGGTTCACCATGTTGGCCAGGCTGGTCTCGAACTCCTGACTTCAAGTGATTCAATTGCCTCAGCCTCCCAAAGTGCTGGGAGCCATCGCGCCCGGCCAGTATCTCAATATAATTTTGATTTTCATTTCTCTGATGATCAGTGATGTTGAGCACCTTTTCATAAACCTGTTTGTCATTGGTATGTCTTCTTGTGCTAAACATCTGTTCAGATATTTGGCCCATTTTTAAATTGGATTATTAGATTTTTTTCCCTATAGAGTTGATTGAACTCCTTACATATTCTCATTATTAATCACTTGTCAGATGAGCAGTTTGCAAATATTCTCCCATTCCGTGGGTTGGCTCTCCACTTTGTTGATTGTTTCCTTTACCGTGCAAAAGCTTTTTAACTTGATATGATCGCATTTGTCCACTTTTGCTTTGGCTGTCTGTGCTTGTGGAACAGTACTAAAGAAATCTTTGCTCAGTCCAATGTCTTGGAAAGTTTCCCCAGTGTTTTCTTGTAGTAGTTTCATGGTTTGAGGTACTGGATTTAAGTCTTTAATTCATTTTGATTTGATTTTTGTAGATGGTGACAGGGATCTAGTTTCATTCTTTCTGCTTATGAATATCCAGTTTTCCCAGCATCATTTATTGAAGAGACTGTCTTTTCCCCAGCATATTTTCTTGGCACCTTTGTTGAAAACTAGTTTGCTGTAGATGTACGGATTTGTTTTTGGGTACTCTATTCTGTTCCATTGGTCTATTTGTCTGTCTTTATGCCAGTACCATGTTGTTTTGGTCACTGTAGCTCTGTAGTATAATTTTAAGTCAGGTATTGTAATTCCTCCAGTTTTGTTCATTATGCTCGGTATGGTTTTGGCTATTCTGGGTCTTTTATGGTCGCATATAAATTTTAGGATTCTTTTCTATTTCTGTGAATAATGTCATTGTTATTCTGACAAGGATTGCATTGATTCTGTTGTAGATTGCTTTGGATAGTATTGACATTTTAACAACATTTATTTACCAATTCATGAAAATGGAATCTTTTCATTTTTTTTGTCTTCTTCAAGTTCTTGCATCAATGTTTTATATTAGGTTGGTGCAAAAGTAATTGTAGTTTTTGCCATTAATAGTAATGGCAGCTGGGTGTGGTGGCTCAGGCTTGTAGTGTCAGCACTTTAGAAGGCCAAGGCGGGTGGATCACTTGACGTCAGGAGTTTGAGACCAGTCTGGCCAACATGGCAAAACCCTGCCTCTACTAAAAACACAAAAATTAGCCAGGTGTGGTGGCCTATGCCTGTATTCCCAGTTATTCAGGAGGCCCAGGCAGGAGAATCACTTGAACCCTGGAGGCAGAAGTTGTAATGAACCAAGATCACACCACTGCACTCCAGCCTGGGTGACAGAGCAAGACTGTCTAAAAAAACCCCAAAAAACCAAAAAACAAGTAATGACAAAAACTGCAATTACTTTTGCACCAACCCAATAGTTTTCGTTGTAGAGATTTCACTTTTTTGTTAATTCCTAGCTTTTTTGTTTTGTTTTGTTTTGTAGCTATTGTAAATGTAATTGTTTTCTTGATTGCTTTTTCAGATTGTTTACTGTTGGCATATAGAAATGCTATTTTTGTATGTTAATTTTGTATTCTGCAACTTTACTGAATTTGTTTATCAGTTCTAATAGTTTTTTAGTGGAGTCTTTAGGTTTTTCCAAATATAAGATTATATTATCTGCAAACAAGGGTAATTGGACTTCTTCCTTTACAATCCAGATGCCCTTTTAATCTTTCTCTTCTTTGATTACTCTAGCCAGGACTTCCAGTACTATGTTGAACAACAGTGGTGACAGTAGGTGTCCTTGTTGTGTTCCACATCTTAGAGGAAAGGCTTTCAATTTTTCCCTATTCAGTGTGATAATAACTGTGGATCTGTCATATATCACCTTTATCATGTTGAGGTATGTTCCCTCTATACCTAGTTTTTTGAGGGTTTTTATCATGAACAAATACTGAATTTTATCAAACGGTTTTTCAGCAATTCATATATATGTATGTGCCACCATGCCCGGCTACTTTTTTTTTTTTTTTTTTTTTTTTTTTTTTTTTTTTTTTTAATTTTTAGTAGAGACGGGGTTTCATCATGTTGGCCAGGCAGGTCTTGAACTCTCTACCTCAAGTGATCCACCCGCCTCGGCCTCCCAAAGTGCTGATATTACAGATGTGAGCTACTACGCCCAGCATGTTTGTATAGTTTCTAAAATCCCTTTCATCATTGATTTCTACTTTTATTCCACTGTGGTCAGAGAAGATGCTTGATGTTATTTCAATATTTACACACGTTTGGGGCCCTACGCAGTGGCTGACGCCTGTAATCCCAGCACTTTGGAAGGCCGAAGCAGGTGGATCATGAGGTCTGGAGTTTGAGGCCAATATGGTGAAAAGCCATCTCTACTAAAAATACAAAAATTAACCAGGCGTGGTGGCACTCGCCTGTAGTCCCAACTACTCAGGAGGCTGAGGCAGAAGAATTGCTTGAACTGGGGAGGCAGAGGTTGCTAGCTGAAATCGTGCCACTGCACTCCAGGTTGGGTGACAGAGTGAGACTCCATCTCAAACAAACAACAAAAAAATGTTTCTAAGACTTGCTTTGTGACCTAACATACAGTTGTCCTTGAGAATGACCCATGTGCAAAAAGAAGAATGTGTATATTGCAGCTGTTGGATGAAATGTTTTGTAAATATCTATTAGATCCACTTTTTCTATAGTGCAGATTAAGTCTGACATTTCTTTTTTGGTTTTCTATCTGGAAAACCTGTCCAATGCTGAAAATGGGATATTGAAGCCATGATTGTGCCATTACACTCTAGCCTGGGCAACATTGAAAGATCCCATCTCTCTCTAAAAAAAAAAAAAAAAAAAAAAGAAGAAGAAGAAAATTTGCTATATATACACAATGGAATACTATATAGCCATAAAAAGAATGAAATTGTGTCATTTGTAGCAACATAAATGGAACAAATGGAATTAACTGGATGTTATATGAAATAAGCCAGGCACAGAAAGACAAATACTACATATTCTCACTCATATGTTGGAGACGAAAAAAGTTGACCCCATGGAAATAGAGAATGGAATTATAGATACCAGAGGCTGGAAAGGGTGTGTGGGTGGCAGGGGGTGACGAAAAGAGGTTTGTTAATGGATCCAGTCATACAGTTAGAAGAAATATGTTCTAATGTTCCATAACAGAGCAGGGTCACTAGAGTTACCAAAAATATGTTGTATATTTCAAAGTAGCTAGAAGAGAGTACTTGAAATGTTACCAACATATAGAAATGACATGCCAGGCTGGGTGCGGTGGCTCACACCTGTAATCCCAGCACTTAGGGAGGCCAAGGTGAGCAGATCACAAAGTCAGGAGTTTGAGACCAGCCTGGCCAATATGGTGAAACCCCATCTCTACTAAAAATACAAAAATTAGCTGGTCATGGTGATGGGCGCCTGCAGTCCCAGTTACTCGGGAGGCTGAGGCAAGACAATCGCTTGAACCCAGGAGGCGGAGGTTGCAGTAAGACAAGATTATGCCACTGCTCTCCAGCCTGGGTGACAGAGTGGAACCCTGTCTCAAAAAAAAAAAAAAAAAAAAAAAATGGGACGGCCACAGTGGCTCACGTCTGTAATCCCAGAACTTTGGGAGGCTGAGGCAGGTGGATCACGAGGTCAGGAGTTCGAGACCAGCCTGGCCAAAATGGTAAAACTCCATCTCTACTAAAAATACAAAAAATTAGCTGGATGTGGTGGTACATGCCTGTAATTCCAGCTATTTAGGAGGCTGAGACCGGAGAATAGTTTGAACCCAGGAGGCAGAGGTTGCAATGAGCTGAGATTGCACCACTGCACTCCAGCCTGGGTAACAAGAACGAAACTCTGTCTCAAAAAAAAAAAATTACCTAATGGGTACAGTATACACAATTTGAGTTATGGTTGCACTTTAAAGTCCAAACTTCTGGCCAGACGCGGTGGCTCACGCCTGTAATCCCAGCACTTTGGGAGGCTGAAGTGGGCAGATCACCTGAGGTCAGGAGTGTGAGACCAGCCTGACCGATATGGTGAAACCCCATCTTTAAATAAATAAATAAATAAAGTCCAAACTTCACCACTATACAATATATCCATGTAACAAAACTGCATTTGTATCCTTAAATCTGTAAAAATAAAATAAAATAATGTCTTGTTCTTCTCTTATGTTTTCAATTATATCTTTAATCATTTTAAGCATAGTTATTTTAGTCTGATGAGTCTGCATATTTTGGGGTCTAATTCTATTTGTGTTTATCAGATGAGTCTGCATATTTTGGGGTCTAATTCTATTTGTGTGTCTTCAGATATTTGATTATGGTGTGGTGTTTTTTCGTGTGTTTTGTGATTTTTTATTTTAAATTGTGTTCAGTGCAGCTTTACTTGTGAGGATCTTGTGAAAGATATGTCTCTCTACAGCTGTTTTATGTTGCTTCTGCCAGATAGGAATAGCAATAGTTATACTTTTAAGTGAGTATACACTTTATACTCATTTTTTGGTGTAGAAGGTTCCTGGACATTGTAGAAGGTATACATTTTGAATCCCAAACCCATGTGAAGGCAGGCCTCAGAGGGAGACCTTTTTTCTACCTTATCAGAGACCAGGTTGTCTTCCTATGCTAGTGAATGAATTTTTGTCTAGTTCGACCTTATTAAAGGTGTAGTCCTTTAAAAGTCCCAACTTTCTACAGGTATGTTCCACCTCGCTGCCTTACTTAGGCCCAAGGCTCTGTCTCCTGTCTCTACAAGGCCATCAAAACCTAATCACCTGGGCTCGTTTCGACAGCACCTGTACTGGAATTGAAATGACGCAGAGATGATTAGCATGATCCCTGCACAAGGATGACACACAAATCTGTGAATTGTTCTATACATTTTTAAAAAGGTGGGGGTGGGGGATCGTGGCAGATGGGAAGCAGGACTAGATTGCAGCTCCAACTTTGTGGAGGCTCACATCATTAATTTTTGCTCCAGAACAAGTGCAGGAATAAATCAGGAAACCCAAGAGGACCCACAGACCCTCTGAAGGAAGTGGACTGCTCTTGCAGGACTCAGGAGACACCCCAAATACGGTGAGTGAACAAACCGTGCAAGTGGGAAAGGGAGATTGTCTGCCCCCAAACACACATCCCTGCTGGAGAAACTGAAGGCCTAGATTATGGGAGAAGATTCTGACCTTACCTGGAGCTGAGTCAATTTAGATAAGTCGAGTGAAATACTGGAGTAGAGGAAGCAGTGGGAAAAGTCCTGTGAGCTCACTGGGTCCCCTAGCAAACCATTTCTGCCTGGCCTTACAGGGGTCCTTCAGTAGGGTGGCCAGAGGCACTTGGAAAAGATCACAGGGAGAAGGAACTCTCCAGCTGAACTTTGTAACAATTTGAACTGAAGCCGGGTGCAGTGGCTCATGCCTGTAATCCTAGCACTTTGGGAGGGCGAGGCGGGTGGATCATCTGAGGTCAGGAGTTCGAGACCAGCCTAACATGGTGAAACTCGTGTCTACAAAAAATAAAAAAAAATTAGTCAGGTGTGGTGGCACGTGCCTGTAATCCTAGCTACTTGGGAGGCTGAGGCAGGAGAATTGCTTGAACCTTGGAGGCAGAGGTTGCAGTGAGCCGATATCACACCACTGCACTCCAGCCTGGGTGACAGAGTAAAACTCCATCTTAAAACCTTCAAAACTATAGCAGCTGCTATGGGAGATGGGGGTGAGGAACATTCAAAACTATGCAAATACATGGGAAATAAATAACCTGTTCCTGAATGATCACTGGGTCAAAAATGAAATCAAGATGAAAATTTTAAAAAATTTCACACTGAGGCCGGGCGCGGTGGCTCAAGCTTGTAATCCCAGCACTTTGGGAGGCCGAGGCGGGTAGATCACGAGGTCGAGAGATCGAGACCATCCTGGTCAACATGGTGAAACCCCGTCTCTACTAAAAATACAAAAAATTAGCTGGGCATGGTGGCACGTGCCTGTAATCCCAGCTACTCAAGAGGCTGAGGCAGGAGAATTGCCTGAACCCAGGAGGCGGAGGTTGCGGTGAGCCGAGATCGCGCCATTGCACTCCAGCCTGGGTAACAAGAGCGAAACTCCGTCTCAAAAAAAAAAAAAAAAAAAAAAAAAAAATTTCACACTGAATGATAACAGTGACACAGTCTTTCAAAACCTATGGGATTGCTGGGCACAGTGGCTCACGCCTGTAATCTCAGCACTTTGGGAGGCTGAGGTGGGTGGATCACCTGAGGTCAAGAGTTTGACACCAGCCTGGCCAACATGGTGAAATCCCGTGTCTACTAAAATTACAAAAATTAGCCGGGCATGATGGCAGGTGCCTGTAATCCCAGCTACTCAGGAGGCTGAGGCATGAGAATCACTTGAACCCAGAAGGTGGAGGTTGCAGTGAACTGAGATCATGCCACTGTACTCCAGCCTGGGCAACAGAGCGAGACTGTGTCTTAAAAACAAAAACCAAACACACAAACAAATAAATTGTCAACAGTTTTTTTGTTTATATATATATAAATTAAGAACCATTAATTTGATCAAGACTCTCATACCCATCCAGAATAAAATCTAAACTCCTTAGCATGGCATAACTATGTAGTCCATGTCTACCTTCTGATTCTCATTTCTAAAGATTCTTCGATGTCTACCTTGCATTTAAATTGCACCAGATTACTAGAACTTCCCCCAGATTCTACATATTAGACCTAAACTTGTGATTTGTTTTTTTTTAAGACAGAATTTCACTCTTGTCTCCTAGGCCAGAGTGCAATGGTGCGATCTCAGGTCTGCAACCTCTGCCTCCCAGGTTCAAGAGATTCTCCTGCCTGAGCCTCCCAAGTAGCTGGGATTACAAGCATGCACCACCAGACCCAGCTAATTTTATGTATTTTTAATAGAGTTAGGGTTTCACCATGTTAACCAAGCTGGTCTCAAACTACTGACCTCAAATGATATGCCCACTTCAGCCTCCCAAAATGCTGGTATTAGAAGCGTGAGCCACTGTGCCCAGCCAAGTTGCTGCCATATATATATATATATATATATATGGGGATGTATTTATTTATTTATTTTGAGATGGAGTTTCTCTCTTGTTGTCCAGGCTGGAGTGCAACGGCACGATCTCGGCTCACTGCAACATCCTGGGCCCAAGCAATTCTCCTGCCTCAGCCTCCTGAGTAGCTGGAATTACAGGCATGCGCTACCATGCCTGGATAATTTTGTATTTTTAGTAGAGATGGGGTTTCACCATGTTGGTCAGGCTGGTCTTGAACTCCTGACCACAAGTTATCATCCCGCCTCAGCCTCCCAAAGTGCTGGGATTACAGGTGTAAGCAACCATGCCCGGCCTGGAAGGGATGTTTAGAGATATACTGACAAGTTGCAGAATGCACTGAACCCATCAGCTTTTACAATGGATTTCCCTTTCAGTCTCAAAATATTTTGAGAGATTGGTAATTTCTTTATCGATTTTTTTCTGAAATAAAATTAATTAGCATCCATTATAAAAACTTTAAAACCACAGTAGGGTAAAAATAGGATATATAGGAAATCCTTTGCACTGCCCTCATTTAGTTCTTCATGGAATTAATGATCGTTAATATTTTCTTGTTTATTCTTTCAGAACTCCATTTATTGGTGAAAATGATGTCATATAAAACATCTTAGCTAGACTCAGGAGGGTGAGGCAGGAGAACTGCTTGAAACCGGGAGGTGGAGGCCATGAGCTGAGACCACACCACCGCACCGCACTCCAGCCTTGGTGACAGAGCGAGACAAAAAAGAAAAAAAAAAAAAAGAAGAAGAAGAAGGAAAAAGAAAAAATGTCTTAGCCAGGCACAATGGCTCATGCTTGTAATTACAGCACTTCTGGAGGCCAAGGTGGGAAGATTCCCCCGAGGACAGGAGTTTGAGACCAGCTGTGGCAACTCAGAGAGACCCCATCTCTTGTTTTTTCCTTTGCTTTCTCTTAGACATTTCTTTCTGTTTTTACAAAACCATTGACTTACCTGTTTATGTGTCATGCCAAATTGAAACAAGAGTGATAAACTCTCTTGTATTGCGGGGCACCTGTTTAATTTAAACTTTGCCCACAGAGTGGCCATGAGGGATTTGCTGACTAATCTTTTCTTGGGATGTTTCTCATTTTCCCTTTTCCTTTTTTCTTCCTGTTCATCTTCCAGCTCCTTTTCATTTTCCTCTTTTTTTCTTGCTCTCTCTTTCTGCCTGATTCTCCTCCTCGGTCTCTCCATTTCTGCTTTCCCTTTTGTTCGTCTTCACTGTAATTTTCATTTGCTTGCCCTGGATTTTGATCCCAAGGCATAGCTGATTGTTTCTATATAACAAGATCCAAGATCCCAACTTTTCAATTTTGTGAAGTTATCACCACCTTCCAGCCCTTGCTAATTTAGATCCATGATTGTTTTGCTTTGAGTCTTTTCTCTTAGAGGCTCTGTTTGATTTTTAGAAATAAAAAAAATTATCAGTGCCAGACAGTTTTACCTCAGAAAAGTCACAATTGTGGGAAAATATTTTCTGGCCAGGCGCGGTGGCTCACGCCTGTAATCTCAGCACTTTGGAAGGCCCAGGTGGGTGGATCAGCTGAGGTCAGGAGTTTGAGACCAGCCTGACCAATATAGTGAAACCACATCTCTACTAAAAATAAAAAAATTAGCCAGCCATGGGGGCGGGTGCCTGTAGCCCTCAGGAGGCTGAGGCAGGAGAATCGCTTGAACCCAAGAGGCAGAGGTTGCAGTGAGCCCAGATTGCACCACTGCACTCCAGCCTGAGCGACGGAGTGAGACTTTGTCTCACAAAAAAAAAAAAAAAAGAAAGAAAGAAAAAGAAAATATTTTCAATGAGTTTGTTTCTATTAAACCAAGAAAGTAGAATTTAATAAACTCTAGTTTTGGTGTAAATAACATGTTTTAAACTTAACTCCTGTGAGTGTTAATTTATCTATTTTTCAGTATTTTTTCAACTGCTTTAATGTTCTTGAAAAAAGTTAACTATTCAAGAATACATAAAAGCATGTATATGGAATCTATATTTTGCCTTTTGCCTCAGGCTCCAATATGGCTCAGTATGGCACTGTTACTGGTCCTGTCTTTATTAAAAATCTTGATATTTTGTTCACTATGGACTTTTGCATTAATTTTATTTTTTAAATATTTCATTAAAACATCATTCTTCTTGATAACTGAGTTTTTTGGTACTCCCTTGAATTTCGCATGTGAAGAAAGTGCCTCATTCACCCCAGCCTACTCCCAGCCCTCCTCGAGGCCCTTAGATATAAATAATCTATTTGATATGCCAGTGTTATGTGGGAAGTATAATTCTTTTCTTAAAAAAAATCGGCTGGAACCGCCATCTTCCAGTAATCTGCCAAAATGATAAACACAAAGGAAAAGAGGAGAGGCACACGATAGATACTCTCTAGGCCTTTTAGAAAACATGGGGTTGTTCTTTTGGCTATGTGCATGTGAATCTATAAAAGAAATGCAAATCAAAACCACATTGAGATACCATCTCACACCAGTTAGAACAGCGATCATAAAAAATCTGGAGACAACAGATGCTGGAGAGGATGTGGAGAAATACAAACACTTTTACACCGTTGGTGGGAGTGTAAATTAGTTCAACCATTGTGGAAGACAGTGTGGCGATTCCTTAAGGACCTAGAAATAGAAATTCCATTTGACCCAGCAATCCCATTACCGGGTATATATCCACAGGATTATAAACCGTTCTATTATAAAGACACATGTACACATATGTTCATTGCGGCACAGTTTACAATAGCAAAGACCTGGAACCAACCCAAATGCCCATTGGTGATAGACTGGACAAGGAAAATATGGCACATATACTCCA